AAAGAGAGATGAGCGGTACTAATCCAAAAGAATAATATGAATTAGCTGGAAAAATTCCCCAGGCTGAAACAAATCTGGGCAGTAAGAATGGATAGCCCCCCCGTCCATCCCTCCTTGCTCTCAGAGGTCAAAGGGTGAAATTCCTCATCTTCCATCAGGCCTCCAGATTTCACACACTATAAAGGGGAGTGCTTGAGGAGGGGGATGGGTTAACAAGACCTGGTGAGATGGAGGGAGTGCGGAAGGTGTTGGTCTAAGGTCCTGCTGGTAGGGGGGTGGGCATAGGAAAACAGGAAGTCTGGGACTACAAATATATGCACAGTGACACTGCTGACATGTGTTAAAGCAGGGTATAGCTTGAGAGGTGATCGGATAGAGCATACGTACACTGTAAGAGGCCATTGGGTGAATTACAACAGACTGATGGGGCAATAAATGCACCAATATAGATGCAGCATCTGATGCCAGGCTCTCATTGCTCATGCACGGCGGCTAAAACAGTCTCCAGTCAAATAAAAGCGTCATTAATGAGCTGCTGTCGCATCTGAAGTTTCCATCGTCCAGCTAACAACGGCCATCTCTGCACTCTGAATGCTAATGCAAGCACGAACATACACCATTGGCCACCTGACCAAACACTGAGTGTTTTTCCGCTCTGCTTTTAGCTAAATGTGCAGACCTGGCCATTTGAATAATGCATTGGCATGACAGAGTGGATGCATGTCAGTGACATGGAGTGAGTAGCAGCATCTCACTCTCTCCACCAACTGCAAAAAAAGAGATCCACAAAGCTACATTCTTGCATTCCGAAACAGCTAAAAAATAATGCAATGGACTGAAGCAGTTTCAATGCGCTTTTACAACTAAAAAAGCTTTTATTTTAAAGTGATTTTTAATGTTATCGTATCTGCCTTATTAGGAAAATAGGTCAATGTATTATAAAACATGTTTTGTAATCAGTATCGGATAAATGATCTAACTTCAGTCAACTGATCAGTAATTGGCTTAAGAATATAAATATAATAATAATAATTCATATAAATATTAATATTTATCATTATTTATAATTTTATCATCATTCCTATTAAAATCCTGTCATCATTTACTCATGCTAATGTCATTTCAAATGTCTAACTGTTTAGTGTGGTCACATTAGCGAAATTTCAGCAAAATTTTGCAGGCAAAAAAGGTCCATTATCTATTGTCAATAGCACAGTGATGTATAAAGCACAGCTCGCACAAAAGTCACTTTCAAAACAGGCAGCTTTTTGTCAATCAGCGTGGCGAATTCATGAGACCAACTTGAAAATGATCAAAATCTGCATGGGGAACTTTTTCACCCTCACACGGATTTCTATTGGAATGTCTGGATTGTGCCTGCGAAATTTCACCAAGCAGTAGAAAACCTGACTACACCTTAAGGCCTTGTCTTTAGCCAGCTGAAAACATCAGCGCTCTTGTAAAAAAGCCTTGCTGCGGGTGCTTAAAAGAGCTATGGCAGCGCAACGTTTTCTTTCAGTTACAGAATAAATATCAGAGGAACTGTTACTAGTATCTGATTTCGCAAATAGTTTGTTTCTGAATATTTTTTTTTTTGACAATGTAACGTACTTGCTCTGCCACTCATTTTGGATGAAGAAAGATATGTGCTTGTTGTCATTTGTTAGCATTGTACAAGCAGAATGTGATGGTTGGTCGGTCGCTGTGGTATTTGCCCCATTCCTCCGCAATGATTGGACGGCTGGGTAAAAAGTGACAGTGATGACATTTAACCCAAAATTGAACATTCTTCAATTCTCGGCGACCAGAAAAAAAACAACATGGCGCTCCCATTGAAAACAATTGGAAAAATACACTAGCCTCTGGAAAAAAAGGCTTTACTGGACACATGACCTAAAGGTCCAAAACAGCATTGGACCTTGCTTGGATAAAGTCATACAGGTTTGGTAAAAGATGAGGGTGAGTAAATGATGACACATTTTTCTCTTTTGGGTGAACCATTTAAAAGTGCAACACGTGGCAGGACATGTACAAAAAAATTTTTTAAATATTGCACACAGTGGTAAAACTAAAGCACAAGACGCTGTCAACATGTTAGACTAAAGATATCAAATCTAAAATTGACATGAACTAGTCAATACTTTTCAACTCTAGTTGGTTGTTGCATGAGATCCAAAATAAAGCAGCGTAAGAAGGTATGTTCTGGCATCCAGCAGCTTGTCGCTTGCAATGCTGGTAAAGTGATGGGTGTGCAGTTAGGTGGAGAGGCGACTGTCTCGAGAGACGGTGGGAAAGGGAGTTGAAAGGCCTCTTTTATCTTCATCTAAATCAACTGTCAACAAGACAGTGTAAATCACCAAGAAGACATAAAAGCCTACATGCAAACATAGCAGCACTGTGCCAAACAAACATGCATCACATTCACCAGGATAAGATGCTAGAGTGCAAATGAGACGTGCGAGAGCCGACAGCGAGAGAAAAAAACCTATAGTGATACTGTTATGCAGAACACTACTTTTAGCTCCTCTGAATGCCACTATATGTGGCCGTGGTGGGCTGATTCAAGATGAGCAGCATGATCCTGATTCACGGACCAGCTGACAGCCACATCATCACTGCATGGATATTTCTCATCCACTTATGGTTAAAGCACAGATACGAACTTGTTCTGTCTTGCTTAACAGTTGGAGAGACGCTGGATTTCTCTGCCTAATGAGGTCAAGGGGAAAAGAGTCAAATGAAAAAATGATGTGACTTTGCTGACCAAAACCATTAATGCATTTCCGCTCATCATTTACTCTTTTTTTTCCAAAACAATGCAGATGAATGCCATTGAATTCACTGGATGTTACAGGAAAAAAAAGAATAAAATAATGAGGCATTGCTAGAACTATCGAAACCTACACAAGATGGAATAAATCGATTTTTACAACATCTACTGAGCAATAAGTGTGACTAAGAGATGTGAAGTTGTTTCAAAGGGCACCATTAAGAGAAAATCAGGAAATGTCCTCAAGAAAGTGGACTCTCCGCTGCAATTAGGAACAATCACAACAGATTTTATCACGCTGCACTGCGTAACATCAGCACACATCAAAGCTCGGAGCTGCTCCCAGAATGATGGAGACCTGTAGGGGGAGGGGATGGGTAGTATTTGACTTGTCCCTGGGGAAACAGCCCTCCAGCTCAACAGGTACAACCCCATGAGCTCAAAGGAAGAGCACATTCCTGTAGCTATGCCCAATCAGGAATTTGAACTCCCCATGCCAGCTCTCTCCATGCGCAGCACCTAAACTGACCAAACAAAGGCTACTGAAGCCAATCCATCAGATATCGACCAAACATTTATAAAGCTACTTTGTTTTGAAAGCATCTCAATTATGTGCTGCGCGCAGGGTGCATGAAAAACTACAGCTCTACTGTTATTTTCTCTGCACATTTTCCTAGTTAGTGCATGCATTTGAAGAATGATTATCAACCTTTGAGAACCTTGAAAAATTGTCAGCGTTGTGTGCATTTGACAAAATCTCCAATGGGGAAAAAAGTAAATAAAATGAAGGATTGCAAGTAGCAGGACCTAAAACAAGCAGGTGGGAACATATTCATTGCAAGTAGGGATTGTGTGTATCATTCTATTGGAAGAAAGTGGGGGGAGGGGGGTCAGTCCACACAGACCATGCAGAGAAAGTGACAAATATAATGCATATAGTGTATTTTACCCATATGCAATTGTTTCATATAACTCATTTTAAATCCTCTTGTGGCCCCCCCTTGGAAGTTTGACGACTGGGCCCCGGCCCCTGGTTGAGAACCACTGATTTGTAGACAGTCAAATAATAAGGAGCTGAGGAATGCAACATCTTATTTTCCTGCAGATATTTAGATTTCATGATCCAGTGCAATAATTTGAATTTTCAAAAGTTATGAAATCCCTCACTCAGCTGGAGAATGCAAACCTGACGTCATTTTCTGCAGATCACATTTCTCCTCTCACAGATATTGGGCTTCTTTCTCTCCAATAAGCCCTCTGGATCCAGGCAGGAGTAGACCTCATGGTACAAACTATCTTGAAGCGTCATTTCAGTGCCCAGCAATATTATCCAAGAGATTAAAAGCGACCGTCTATTTTTTCCAGAGCTGCTAATTAGTGCGCTTTAATTCCCAGCAAGAAAGAGCAACTAGTATACCTACTTCTGACGTTTGGAAAACGATGCACGGCGTTGCATTAAACCAAACCAAACCAATAAAAGAAAGAAAAACAGAAACAAGTATCGAGAAGTCGAGATACTTTCTGCACAATATATGACAGGACAAGGACAACAGCAGCTAATGTTTTCCTCCATGAACAGGCACAGCTGTTGAAGAATAGGCTGTCTGGAATACTAGGGCATGATGGAGTTGACCACCTTCACTTCATCCATCATTCATTTTCCTTAAATCTTTGCCAAATATTATACGACATCATTCCAACAACTGACTGTTTTGCAACACTGTAATCGCTACGGAAAGACACCTGGAAAGACAGCGAAATTCAGCATCTCTACTATTTCACCTAAACATTTGGTATATCACTCCAAAACTCACGGATATAACAAAATACTTTTTAAGAAAGCTAAAGTGTAACTCTTTTGTAGCGTTTAAGTAACAGTACGCGCTAAATAAAAAAAAATCCAAAGTTGGAATTCAACGACGAAGACGTCAAACTACGAATTTTCTCGTAAATTTCGCGAATCATTAAAGTTGCACGACGGGTTTTGAGCATCTTCGGGTAAACAACGGAGAATCCATGCAATACAGCCTGTTTTCTTGCGGAATAATGAAGTTTTCCGTCGCATCTCCTTGTTGGCCAACTAACCCAGACTCCCGGCGTCACCGCCATCCAGACACAAAAATGCACGCAACTTTCCGTTATAAACATATTTCATCGTTTAATTGGGAAAAAGCACACACACGCGAACTGTAGCCAAATATAGAGCTAGTAAGCGATAAGAAAAACTTACCTCGCTGCAATAAAATGATGTTGAAAGAAACTCCAGAGCTCCACTTTCACCCCAGACACAACTTTGGCAATCCTTGCTCCCTCCAGTCTGCTCCACCAGCGCAGCGTTCAGTCAGGGGGAGATTCCGCGGCCATGTCAATTATGTCCCACAGCACATGTGAGCTTAATCCTGCCCCCTTTACCGTAAGCAACCATATAAACGAACTTCAGAGCCGAAGGGAACGATTCAAAGACCACCAGACACATGCACATGACACAGCAACACGACACAATCACTAATGCTTTGGTTCATGTTTGGTTCAATAGTCCAAATCAGATTATAGGTGTTTTTTTATGATTTTTTAAAAGATTACATATTGATCAATAGGCAATGACAACAAATTGGTTCATTTTCTGATTTACATTTTAAAATACATAGCATTGTAAAAAAAAAAAAGTTGGTTTAACTGGTTGCCTTATAATGTTGAGTTCATTGAAATTAATATTTTGAGTTAATATAATGAAGGATATGTGTTTATTCAACAGAAACTAGAAATAGTATGTTATCTGAACCACACAAATTATCTAAGCTGATTTGACAAAAGAAAAATGTGTGATAACAAATAAAAATCTTTTTTTTTTTTTACAGTGATAGGATAAATAACTTTCAAGGAGACACGTGGACAATAATTTGGCAACTCAATTCTTACATTAATGTCATTGTAAAAGATTACTACTTTCGAACAAAAAAAATGTACTACTTAGCTAGAAAACTATTATAGCTCACTAATAGTCTTAGTATTTTTTTTATGTGTTCGTGGATACTATAATAATATTACTGATTAGATTTTTTTATAAAAAACACGTAAAGAAACACTTACATGTTGTTTTGTTGTCAAAATAATACAATATTATTCTTATGTGTGTGACTATGTGATCATAATATGTCACTGATTTTTTTCTTGTAATTCCTAAAAAAAAAAGTAATTCAACACTGAGTAAGGTATAGTTGGTTTTTATTGCTGTTTCCTGTGTTTATGCAACACTTTACAATAAGGTTCCATTTGTTAATATTATCTACATAAGGAAGATTTAACAATGAAAAATTCTAAAGCATTTTTTTTATTCTTTTTTTTAATGCATTATTAAAATCAAAAGATGTATCAGTTAATATTACTTAATGGACCTGAGCTACAATAGACAGTTATTTTTATGAACTACCGATAACAACAACAAAAAATACTGTAAAAAATGTAATGCTCGATGTTAATAGATGTTAGATCTCATTAACTAAAGTTAACTAATGGAACCTTATTTTAAAAAGTGTCATTGATCAAAATGTTTTCCAGTTGTTGAGACTTTAAATATTACCGTTAGAACCCCTGAAATGTGAATAAGTGGTTACATCCTTGCAGTTCTCTGAATGTTATTATATTGTGGGTCACTGTTTGCTGCACCATCCTGTGTTTGTGTCGTTTTGCAGGCTTGTCATCACAAGACAAATTTAGAAAATTAGATGGATCATTAAACTGTCATGTATCCAAACTATTCTAAGTCCACTGCATGTCCGTGACTCATGGCATAATTATGTAGCCTAAGTAGCTGAAAATACTTTTTAAATCTCAAAATCAGAAGAGCACAGCTGAACAAACTCAATGCCCCTTGTCCTACATTTTTCACTTCGCTGACAGTGGCAGGTAAGTCACACGGTGTAGATGTGTCTGCTGCCACCAGCAGGACAGTTAAAGGTAAGGCATTTAGGCTACTGTACCTTTATTTATTTTTTATATAGCGCTTTTTACAATACAGATTGTTTCAAAGCAGCTTTACAGTGATAACAGGGAAATGATGCAACAAAGTTTGTTTGTTGTGAAAAAAAATATTAATTAGTAAATTTTTATATACAGCCGCTCTGGAGAAGCAATGAACTAGCATGTTTAGTGCTGCTATTTATTAATTGCTCACATTGTAACGTGTTATGATTATTTATCTTCCATGATATTGGATTAATTCAAATTTGTAGGTTTTATTGAGGCCTCGAAAGAGACTTTCAAAAACATTTGAAAAAAATCTTACTGACCCCAAACTTTAAAACTTAAAACATAATCAGAGGTTTGCCATTCTTTTAACATTAACACAGTCACATACAATGACAAATTTGGTTAAGTGAATTATTGGACATTTCTTTCATGGGAATAAAGTGAAATGACCTCACTGCAAAAAAATCCTTTGCATCAACCCCGAGCCTTCAAATGTCTGATAGTGACTGGAGAGAGTGATTTCATATAGGCTAGGCATTTTTAACAAGTAGCACTAGAGCAGGTCCGTGATAATATTTTGCCTGAATTGCTGTAGGCCCATGTGTCTTATAAATCAACACTCAAGTTTAAGTTCACGTTTGAAAATGTATAATTAATATTATTGTTAATTCTGTCATCATTTATCCTACTCTCGTTCCAAACCTGCGACCGCCATATGAAAAACATCATTTGACTGTTTTTTGCAGCTCTTCTGAAACCATATGATAGCATTGTGTGATAAATAAAATATACGTTTTTATGTAGACTATTTATTGTCAAATGTTTCGTTTTTATGTGAGCTACTGTAGCGTATGTCTTGGATTTTATGTCTTGGGGGTATATGTATGCCCGCCTTTACAGTCACCATGAAATAGAAGTTGTAAAAGTATATTCTTCCCTATTGTGATGTTTATTCGAATGAAACGGCTTCTCGAACAAGAACAAAAGTAGGTTGTAGGTTGACAGGTTGTCCCGCCCTCGCGAAGTTATTTTGATTTGACCAAAAAAATTAGGTGAATGGATAAATTATTTTTAATAAACACTGCAATATTCAATGACAAAATAAAAATGGTCAGTTTTGATTTCATGGTGACTAGTATTTTTTTTGTCTCAACCTATCTCACAGATAAGATTAGATAGGTTTTACAACATAGATGCATTGCTTTGAGCCTGAATGGTAATCATGTTGATGACAGAAGCAGAGAATGAGGTTTAGCAAACATAAGTGGTTGAACCAAAAAAGTTTTATTTATAAGTTGAATAAAATATAGTGTGGTGAAAATGTGGATAATGTAAGTGCAGTGTCCAGGTGTTCTGTGACTGTGTGAAATAATGTTGGTGTCATGGAGACTGAATGGTCTGGGGATTTCCTGGAGATGGAGATTTTGAGTGAATAAGGGCAGTGATCATCTTCTAACGGATATGTGCAGCTCTTAATCACAGACAGCTTCTGGCTGATACAGGATAGGGTGTTCCCTTCTATTGAAGTTCCCTAGTGTCAGAGGTGTCAGTCTGGAACAGGAAGAGCTGGCTATACACTGATTCTGACATGAAAGCACTTTCAAGGGCGTGGAGCACAACTCTCTCTCTCTCTCTCTCTCTCTCTCTCTCTCTCTCTCTCTCTCTCTCTCTCTCTCTCTCTCTCTCTCTCTCTCTCTCTCTCTCTCTCTCTCTCTCGCTCAATTCAATTCAAAGGGGCTTTATTGGCATGAACGTTTTTGAAACAATGTTGCCAAAGCATATACAAAATATACAAATAAAATATATATATATTGTATATAATTTCCATTACACGAGAGTAGATGTTAAAACTTCATGCTGATTTGTACTCGGCTTTCGCCAAGATAAGCAACACTAAGACGTAGCTTTACAGTAAACTATGCTTCACCCATTTACGCTTCTTTCCATATGGTGGTGTGACTCCCCTTCTGTCCGGCGTTAACGACTGCAGTGTACTTGGCGCGTCAGCACACACGACGGCTGCAACTACAGTGTGGTCTCCCTAGTGGACCAGCACGACAACCGTCTGGATTGAGCCAAGTAGGGGACATCTCTAGGGTCTTCAAGTGGGCACCTTCCGTCCTCAGTGTTTCGTCGACTAGCCCACGACACCTCAAGTGGGCTCGACAGTGACTCTGGCGTCCCAGAGTCACCCCCCTCCGTCCCCCACTCAACTCAGCCCAGCTTACTGACCTCTACATCCCTCCTGCTGCTGAGACCTAACCACAACCTCACAATCTCTCCGCAACCCAACCATACGCGCCAACCCGTTTAGGCTGTCGAGCCCCACTGGTGCGTTAATGCAGTTTCAGTGGCAACGGTTCCGTATGGCATACCACCTACCGCAAAACACAACATCTGCCCAACCACCCGTCATTCACGCAATATACACAGGACCAACTGTAAATACTATACAACCTATACAAATAAACCAACAGACTCTTCAAGTTTTCAAGAATTCTACGAAACCGTAGCGTGGCGGCATGTACACAGCCAGCTAGAATCTTTCCGTCTCAACCACAGCCAGTTGCTGCTCCTTTCTGCTGCTTCAGATAAGTTCTTTACTGTGCGACGCAACTCTTGGCCACTGAATCCGATGTCTCTGAGGAACCGGGTTGTAGAGTGTGCCACAAAACCTCGACAACCCACTTCCACTGGATAAACCTGGACTCTCCATCCTCGCTGTTCTGCTTCAGTGGCCAGATGAGCATACCGCAGTTTCTTCCTCTCATATGCCTCATCTACCGCATCCTCCCATGGCACTGTAAACTCTATCAGTTGAACAATGCGTGCTGATCCAGACCACAAAACAATATCTGGTCGTAGGTTAGTGGTGGCAATCTCAGGTGGAAAAAAAAGCCGTTGATCAAGTTTAGCCAGCATTTTCCAGTCCCCAGCAGCTTCCAGTTGTCCTGGGCGAGAATTGGTGTTAGCACCTTTTCTTGGTGGTTGCTCGCCTGGGCGGAGGAATATTGTCTTCTGTGTGTAATGTTTTGCTAGAACAGGCGGCAACTTATTGGTCATACTACGCTTGCCTTCCAATGCTAAAGCCAAACATCGCAATACTTGGTCATGGCGCCAAGTAAACCGACCTTGGCTAAGAGCCACCTTACATCCTGTCAAAATGTGCCTTAATGTGGCAGGTGATGAACACAAAGGACAAGAGGGATCCTCTCCTACCCAGAGGTTTAGGTTCTGCGGTGATGGGAGAACATCATATGTTGACCTAATAAGGAAACTGATCCTACTCTCTTCCATTGACCAAAGGTCTTGCCAGCCCATTTTGCGTTGTTCCACACTCTCCCATCTCATCCACTCTCCCTGCTTGGCCTGGGATATATATAAACATTTAACACAATGTTTGGATATATTTGTGTGTGT